GTACATTGATTAAAAGCCCTTCTCCACTGTTTAGGACATTGAAAAAGAATTGTCTGGCTTTCCAGTATAAATATTAGGCACAAGTAAGAATTATTTGCTGTCACGTTGTAATGCTCTGGACTACAAATCCCAGAGACGTCAAGCTTATCTCAAGGATGAGCCCAGCTGTAAAGCTTGGCAAAACTTTAATTTCTATTTGTTGTCTGTTCTTGCAGTAAACTTCAAGGAAACTGACTTAGTAGCATTAAAAGTACTTTACTTGGCGAAAATGCTGCGTGTACAAACTTAGTTACAGGAAAAGCAAACAAATACATCAACAAGACTGGCTGCTACAAACATTCACATGGACCCACTACACTATCTTCTAGTACATGTATGATTTCTAGGAGGGGAAACACTGAAAATGTACTTAGCTTAGGCTGCAGGCTCCACAAATTCCGTGATGAGCAGGACTTGGCCTAGGAAGAATGGCTTCTCGTTGCAGTATCATTTGTATGTCCTGGTCTTGAAGCAAGTCCTCTCGTCTTGTGAAGCGCCCTCGTACTGTCCCCCTCCTGTGAAGCCCTGGTCTGGTGAAGTGCTGTGCTGGTGAACTGCTGTGTCATCTGTCAGCTACTGGCATTTTATTGAGAGAAAACTGGCCTAAAACAATGGAAGCGACGCCCCTTTCACCTTTCTAAAATGCAATACAATGCATTTCACGTACCCACCTCTAGGTGGCAGCGTTGTACCATAAATTGCCATCAGTAGTCAAGATTTTGATTTGAATCTTGACCAGGCTAGGTGTGACTATTTACGATCACCATCCCATTGTGATACAAATCAATACAGGACAAGCTACACCATTGTGTAAAACCAGTTTAGCCTGTATTGTATTGGCCCCTTCCATTGTATGAACCAAGTTTCTATCAACAAACAAACAAAACCTCCGTCTCTATTGCACATCTATGTATGTCTGAAAAAGTCCACTAAGATATATCGCAACACACACGTCCGTGTAATTAGAGTATCTTAGCCTTGTTTTCTGTACTCTCTCTCTCTCTGTGTACCCAAGAATATGGGGTCGTATGTTGTTGGACACATTTGTGTAGACTGCTCCCTACTTGTAAAGCATGGCCGGGCATTCACACTCTCTTTAAATCGGACTGTGGGATCTTGTTTAGCGCTATTAACAATTATGTAGTGTAAGGATCTGACGGATTGGAGTCAAATTTAGATTTCTCTTGTTTTGCCTCGTGCCCAATTGCCCGATTTTCCTCCATCCACACTAAACAGCATGAATAGGAAAATGTCCCCTGATGGCTATTGTGTTCAGACAGCCAGCATGCACAGCTGTCTGAAATTGGAGACCAGTTTTCCACCCGGCTTCTATAATTTTTAAATTGAAGTATGTGGAGTCGGGTGATGACAATCTCTGCTCAAATCTTTGACTAAAATTTGAGCCTTGCATATATATAGCGTTAGGTAGGGCCTCACATTGCATTGGTTCACATGTATAAAGTTAATGTACAGACATTGTACAACTGGACTATTATTGCCCATTAGCTATGCGAAGTGGCGGCCTTCCTGAATCATCTATTCAAATAATATCAAGTTGGTATATTCACTTTGATGTGTATCTAAAACCTAAAGCCTTGAGTAGAGTAGAAAAGGGTCTACCAGCCCTGTTAAGCTTACTGCTGGCTGTGTCTCTGCTGGGGAGATTCACCACATTTGCTCAAAAGACCAATGTCACCGGGACTGAAAATTAGTGAATATTGAACATTTTAAGTTGTCACTGAAACAGGAATAAGAGGGTAATCTTCCAATGGGGGACACATGTAATGTTGGCAATGGTCAAGGAAAGGATTTATCTCAGTTTGGAGAGATTTCCCCCTCAATTAACATACATGTCCTGTATGTATGTTCATACAGGACATGAAGTGAAGGGAAATCTCCCCAGTGGGGCACAGATGGCAAGAAAGCCTGAGGGGTTTTAACCCTTTCCTACTCCATCCAAAACTAAAAACATGTTGGCTTTAGGTATGTTTTAAATATGCTAACTGGATCTAGAATTCATTTCCCTGATCAGTCATACTTGTTTTTTCGATTTTGGATAAATTGAATTTTTAATTTTAAAAAAAAGAGAAAAATATTGATGAATGCTGTTTGATGTTTTAATGAACTCTAGAATGGATCGGAATCTTAAATATGGCTGTTGCTGCCTTTAGAACTTCCTGGCCTTCTGCACTGCCTCCCAACTCACCGGGGTGATGGCTGATATATAATATAGAGCCCCATGGTTGTCTACATTTTTAAGTGCAAGGATCTGCCCCTAAAGAGCTTACAGACTAAAAAGTACACAAGCACATCTATATGAATTTACATAATACATACAAGGCTCTGTAAATCTAAAAACCTCTTTGATCATCAACGTGGAACTCTGCTGTCTGCTGGGTGGGGAGGCTCTTGCCCTAATGTACAAATATGCATGACATGGCAGACTTGCCTACTACTCTCTTCTATTGATGGTAGGTTCACACTTGCTGCCATCACCTCTGCCATCTTTTCCTGGTCCAGGATCCTCCCTCTATGGCCCCTGGTTATGCAACACATGCACATTGGAGTTGCATCGTCCATGCACCCGGCTCCATTCTTGACATCTTACAGATGCCATAAATGAGCTGGGAGCACTCATTGCTCTACACATGAAATGTAGGCAATTTACACAGACTTAAACATTTGCTAGGACCAAGGGAAGACTTTTTTTGACCGCAAAACTCTTCTGCCCAAAACATTTTTTTGATTTAGCTGCTTTAGATAACAAGTTAACCAGCCGGCATACTTTTGGGTTGTGAGAGGAATCCAAGACAACAGAAGGAAATTTACATACGCACAGGGAAACATAGAAACTACATATACAGGTGAAACTCGAATAATTAGAATATTGTGCAAAGTTCCTTTATTTCACTAATGCAACTTAAAAGGTGAAACTAATATATGAGATAGACTCATTACATGCAAAGCAAGATAATTCAAGCCGTGATTTGTCATAATTGTGATGATTATGGCTTACAGCTCATGAAAACCCCAAGAACCCCAAATCCACAACCTCAAAAAAGTAGAATATTACATGCAATCAATAAAACAAGGATTGTACATAGAACAATATCGGACCTCTGAAAAGTACAGGCATGCATATGTACTCAGTACTTGGTTTGGGCCCCTTTTGCAGCACTTACTGCAATTACTTTTGCACGATATTCTAATTATTCGAGTTTCACCTGTAGATACTGTACTTGGGAACTGAATATAGGCTTTCAGCGCTAGCTTTTCCATGCTAGGCATCTACTTTGTAGAAGAAAGCATCCAGCAGTTAAAGCCCATCTTTGGGATAAAGTTAACTCCCCTCACCCCCCTTTAACTGCTTTTTTTAAAGTGCCTAAAGCTGCAGTCATGTGACGGTCTTTTACCGAGGCGTCTCTTTACTTCGTTTTACTTCCGGAGGGGTCCTTCTTGGTGTGTCCTCATCACTGCCTGTATGACATGGACACTTCTAATTGTCTGCTCAGTGGCAGGGTCCTCTCAGATCCAGCAGAGGAGTGATGTCATGCAAAGGATAATGGCGAGTGATCTGGATGGCGGACTTAGGTTAGTAAAACTTGCTTTTAGTAGAACTAGAGGTGCACCAAAATGGAGCTTTCAGACTGAAACCGAAAATAAAAATTGTCAGGCCAAAAACCGAAAATTATTTTTTTCTAACCTTTTTAAAATAATTTTGTAATATTTTATTTACATTTTTTTCTCTTTTTTTTTTTTTTTTTTTTTTTTTTTTTACTGTTGGAGCTTCGGTGAAATATCAGGGGTCTAAGCTGATTCCTGATATTTCCATTTTGAAATGGAAAAAGAGATTGAGGACCCAGCTCTAAATCCTTTTCTGCAGCCTCCTGTCCATTCATAAATTGAGGCGATAGTATCAGTTAATATGTCCACAATCATAAATGAACAGGAAGTGACGTATAGCAACTGGGGAAACTGTAGTATGCTTACTAATATTTTTAACTTGCTCTCTATCCTGACTCCTCCGCTCTCAATCCTGACTTGCTTTCACAAGAGGCTGAGCAGGCGCTGTGGGTAGGAAAGCTTGTTCTCCTGTGACACCGCTGATGGCTGACTCCTCCCCCGTACCGCTGGCTCAGCCTCCTGTGACAGCTGTCTCCCTCCCTGCACCACTCTCCATCCTGATTTGCTTGCCATAGAAGTCCAAGCTGGGTGATGCGGGAGGAGAGCTCGGCCTCCTGTGACACCGCTGACCACGCTCTCCTCCCCGACCTGTTCGGCCTCCTGAACGTTTCTCTCCTCCCCACTGGGCGCTGCTCTTAGTTAGAGGAGAGAAACTAGAGAAGCACTGCATTTTGCCCAAAGTACCATTTTTGGCTGACATGTTGGAGCATCCCTAGTGAGAATAAGCAAAAAAAAAAACTTGCATAATGAGTTCCAGCTGGGTGGGAGGGGATATATTGCCTCGAGTGGGGCTTAAACCTTGGACATACTTCTTACTTGTGTACATATACTTTCTCATTTTCTATGCAGAGTGTTTCTTTGACTTGATTCTTTGGTTTTTGGTTGAGTGAACCAAGATTAGAACCTGTGTAAGATTGCTGTTTGGCTCTCTGAAGACAATTAAGTGAAGATTGAAGGAAAATCTCCCTGACAGAGGTTCTAACTCTTCTGTATCGTCCGTAGTACTTTTAAAGGAAAAAAGTTTAGACAAAGTCCCACTTTTATTTTAGCCAATTGAAGGAAGGTAAAGTGGTCCTTTTGTTAAATTTGCAGAGTTTATTTTCCTCTTGTCATGCTTCAGAATAATTTGGTGTTGGCTATTATTAGATGCTGAAGAAAACTAATGCATTCCTCTCTCCCTGCCACTCTAAGTGATGCCACAATCAATGTTGGGCTGATTCTTTCTGCAGAAATAACCATATTGATTAAGTTGTTGTTTTCCTCCTTTTTTTTTTCAGTTGTCCATATTTGCATAGGACAACGGGCGACACAGAGAGAAAGTATCACCTACGATATTACAAGACCGGTACTTGTATACATGAAACAGATTCTCGAGGACATTGTGTGAAGAATGGACCCCATTGTGCCTTTGCTCATGGTCCTCATGACCTTCGACCTCCTGTCTATGATATAAGGTAATTCAGTGCTAATTGTGTGCTGAGCTTTTGCCATGACCTCAGGATATGAATGTTGGGCTTTGTTAAAGTGAAACTCCCACCAAAACTGTTTTTTTTTTTTTTAATGGATAGAGCAGCAAAAGGTTAAAACCTCTTTCAGGTTTTAACGCTGACCATGTTCTAATTGGGGTTATTTCTCCTCCCTTCCTATGTGGCCACCTGGACAGGAAACAATGGTAATTCTTCCTAATGAAGATACCATCAGCAAAATCAGCATCAGTCTTAGAGAGGTTGTAACCATTCTGCACACATTATCCAAAGCTAAAACAAAAACTTTGGCTGAAGTTTAAAGGGATTGGGTAGTGGTTCTGTACATATTTTCCTTAATTTAAAATGGTGGGGCCCCAAATTTTTTTTATTATATATTTATAGTCATCCAACCAGTAGATGGTGCTGTATCCTCTTTTTCATACATTCAGCTATTTTGGCTTTCACCTTTCCATAAAAAAAAGCCAATTGTTTAAAGAGTCCTTCCAATGAATCATTCCTTATCAGTAGGCTCAGTAGGTGGTTTTAGACAGAATGAAGGGAGCTGCAAAGTCTATTTAGCTAACCCCAAAGCCCAAAGAATGGAGCTGTGAATGTTCTCTCAAGTGGTTGTCTATGTATCTAGAAAATTGATTAGTATAGGTGCATGATGAGATATGCTATATGATGAGATATGATGCATGATGAGATATGCCAAGTTAGCATTCCACAGAGTCTGTTTTATTAGCGTGAGACCTGGCCCATGAATAAGCACCTACGTTCACTACAGCTCATCAGCTGGATCCTGCCCATGTAAGAAGCATACAGGACTGTCTTTGTGTGTGTGCATTTGGATGTATGTATATGTGTGTGGAGATAATGTATAAAGTAGATAAAACAACTGTTGAAAATACTTAGTTTTCTAGAAATTTGCAGGACAAGTGACCAGCTTTGGGCCAACATAGGCACATGACCTCGTATCCACTTAGTTTGATAATTTTATTTTTCTTTGATTTGGTGCCACAGGGAAATCCAAGCACAGGAAGCCTTACAGAATGGGCAGCTTGGGAGTGGTGAAGGGATTCCTGATTTGCAGCCAGGAGTCTTAGCTAGCCAAGCAATGATAGAGAAGATCCTCGGAGAGGACCCAAGATGGCAAGGTAAGTTTAGGAATAACTTCATGTCAGAAGGACCAAAGGTCAATAGATATGACTATTACTGTACCATCGTAAGGCCAGTAAACCTAACTCACAAGCTGGACTGTGTAATTGTGCTATTATTACCATTTAAAGAGATATGTTGATGCTTGGGGACCATATCAGAATTGGATTATTCTTAATGTTAAGCATCCCCCCCCCATGATTTAACATTGCAAAGACTTTGCTCAGCCTGTAATAGTTGTTAGCATGTAATTATATAAAATAATTGTATGTAAAGCAGCTTGTGTTTTAGGTTAAGAGGCCCTTTATGAGAAGTGCATGAATAAGTAAATAGGCATTAAACATAATAGGTAAGGGCAGACTGTAGCACGTTGCAGAGCAGTGTGGGTATATGCACATTGGTTGTTATGGGTGGTGTTGCAGTCTCTATGACAGTTGGCTGTTTCATATTCTGTGTTGTGAATGTTTTGCTGTTCTTTTTGGCTACAGGTTGGTCTAGCCGTGTGAATGTTCTAATGCTCTGATTGGCTACAGGTTGGTTTTAAACATGCCCATTTTAAAGTGTGTTACTCACATCCATACAGAAAATGATAGTTAACAGGATTTATTGTGTTAGCAAATAGCAAATTATTATTATTATTTTTGAAAATAATTCTCCCAAACCTGTGGATAACACTGACTGGTTTTCTTGTAGCTATTTTGTCATACAAACCTGTTCATTCCCCTCCCTGTAGCCTTGTATAACCTATATCAGGGGTAGGCAACCTCAGCACTCCAGCTGTTGTTGAACTACAAGTCCCACAATGCATTGCAAGACTCCGACAGCCACATGCATAACTCGCAGAAGTGTAATGGGATTTGTCATTGCACCACTGCTGGAGTGACAAGGTTGCCTACCCCTGACCTATATAATGCAAAAGTCCACATTTGAATTGATTGTTGTGCAATGTAGTAACTAGGATTTCATACTGTTTGTATATGAGGCTGTGGTACATGGTGTCAGCTTCAATCTGCATCTCTAGAGCTACCCCTCCTGCTGTCAGTATGCTAATACTCATTTCCTGAAAATGTAATCCTGGGCATTGTATCCCCTCCCATAAACCCTATTCATAGTACTTTTACATATCACTCAAAGCCCCTCTCCAGGCAAACGAAAGACACTACCATTGCAGTGGGGCTTTTTCCCCGCACTGCAAGGGATAAGTCCTCATTTATTCTTAGAGGGTTGGAGTAAAGCACTATTACTTACCTGATCCCTGCTTCCAGGACGGTCAGCACTCAACTCTCTTTCCTCTGCTCTGGCAGGTGGAATACCCCTTGGGGTCCTCACATCTAAAGCCAGCGGTCTTCAGAGCAGTCTGGAGGGAATAGGGTAGAGTGGGCATCAAGTATAATATCTTTTTCTTGTCCTCTAGGCATAAATGAGCACTTTACTGTTGCAGTGGGGCTAGTGGGGCAGTTTGGTTTGACCGGAGATTGGCTTTAGGCTGGCCATACACGAATAATTTTTTTTCGTTTTGCCTGCAGATTCATCCATCTACGCTAACCAGTATAGATGGATGAATCTTCCACTGTGGCTATTGTACTCTTACAGTGGGTGTCTGCCACTGCCAGAATACATGATTGGCTGCAGTCAATGTTCGGCTGAAAATTTTCAAGCCAGCTGCCAAAATTTGATTGTGCAATTGACTCCTGCTGCACTGGCCGGCCACCCACTGTAGGCATTTTGGCCGATTTCTGTGGAATAATCCGATTCCTTTGAATAATCTGTAGAATAATAAGCTTGTTACTTGCATACTAAAACATGGTTTTAAACATACTAAATACTTACATACTAAAAGCAGTAGGTTGCCAGGACATTTGGGAACCGCTTACTGAAAAATGAAGGGTATACATTGACACCTTATAGTGACTCAGCTTGCATGCAGATGTTTTTTTCCAGCTTTTAAAGCGGAACTCTGGGTAGAATGTTTCTTAACCCTAGCAGTGGGGCTACCCCCGCACTGAAAGGGGTAAGTGCTCGCTTTTGTCTAGGTGCCTAAAATAAAATAAAAATAATATTTTATATGTGTGTGTGTGTGTATATATATATATATGTATATATATAT